TGTCAGCCTTGTGAATCAAACCTGTTGCTTTGTGATTTGAACTGAAAGGAGGCATAAACCTCTGCTCTTCTCTGGTTGCATGCTCAGTCAGTGCAGGACAAGGAAGCTTTCTTCATGGCAATATAAAGGACAGTCAATTTGACCAGGGCTTCAGGGACTGTATTCTTTACATACCAATTTGACAGCACACAAAACCAGCATTGGGTAAACAGAGAGGCTGGTGCAGTGTCCTTTAGCACAGCCTCTTCTGGATCCTCTGTTGCACTTGTCTGCATGCTACCACCCCTGTCCCAGGCCTGGCCACCTCACCAGGGGAGTGGGCCAGCACAGCAGGATCAGTGTGGAGGACAGCCTGTCCCCTTGCTTTCAGTCTCTGAGTGCCACAGCAGCAGAGTCACCTCCAGCTGAGCTGGTCAGAAGCAACCTCCAGCATCCATCCCAAGCCAGGCTGGAGCCCATCTTTCTAGAGCCCAACTCCTGCACCTCTCCTGTGGGGCTATGCACAGGAGGGTCCTGCTCTGCCTTGCTGCTCTGCCTCAGCTTCACTCCAAGCATACAGGGAACTGCAACTCCTTGGACTTCATTGTGGTAAAAGTTATGGACATTACTGTAAGCTGCTGAGTTTAGGCAGGGACATTTTTTGGTTTTTGAGGTCTGTTTGTTTGTGGCAAGAGTAAAGCAAAGACAGATGCATATGCAGAAAGCCTCTCATGTTGTTGCAGGAAGGGAAGGAGAGAAATGCAATAGGTATTACTGCATACAGCAGGCACAGTAGGTAGAAAGGAATCAGTTTGAAAGGAATTAGAGGGTACCACAGAAAAGCTTCAAAAGAGACTAAACAGAGAGGTAAACAGCAATTGCATATATTCAAGGATTCCTTTTAAAAACTATAAAAAAGCTGTTTTCGATAAAAATTGATTTCATCTTTCCACAGAGACACTGTTTTTCCCAGGACCTTTGCTATTCACAGCAGCTTGTGTCTCAGGTTGCCATTCCCATCCTCCTGCTCACCTTCAGGAGCCTCAGAGCCCTGGGATTGCAGCAATATCTCTGAATTTTGTGGATTTTGTAAAGGTCAAGGTAAAGGCAAGTCTTTCATTAGAATTCTTACTAACATACATTATAACAGAAGACAAATGATATTTGCACAGCAAAGAGAACTAAATGATAATGTTTGTGATTTCACTCTTCCTCCAAGGAACATGTATTTGTTTATGCAGTCTTTGGGTTGTGTTCACTTCATATTAGATTTTCATGTTCCCTCTGACTGATTCTTCTTTCAGGTTGAGTCAGTGGATGTGACCTTATGGTGACATTTGCAGAGTGGCATCGACTGTAGTGGCTGTACACTCTTACAAAGCTCACTGGCAGGGCTGAGTCATTGGATACCTGAAAGTGGTCCTAGGAGCTGGATACTGGGTGTTCCCCTTTGTGCTCATATCACTTTTCCAGAGGAGTGAGGACTTCATTTTGATTAAGTTTGAAAGGGAAAAACTTTCTGTGAGGAGCTACTGTGCAGAGGTGGAAGTCATACACTGAGCCAAAGTCCACCCTATTTCAGGGTGTGTGTCAGCAACTGCTGGAGTTGAATAAATTCCTCTTGAAAGGGGAAATATAATCTTGGTTAAGTGATCTCAAAATAGCTACATCTTTCCATCAAAGAAGTATTCAGGCAGCAAAGTTAGTAAGGAATAATGTATACCATATTCATTACCCCTGGGCACACGTGACATCCTGCTCCTTTTCCCATACAAGTTCCTCAGGCTCTTCACCTCTCTCAGGGTATTGTAGCCAAAGCAATCATTAGTTTTTGCAAAGGAAATTGAAACCGTCTTTTCTTGTGGGCGTTTCTATATTCTCATTATTTGAACATGACTTGTGTAGCAGAGGCACAGGAGAGCTGCTTGTGGTTCTGCTGTTGGCATTTATTCTTTGGGACTGTCTGATGGAAGCACAGCATGGCAACAATGAATGCCAAGCTCTGCTCACTGGATATGATGGTAAAGGATGAATACTCTAGTTCTGTGCTCTCACGGAAATGTGCCACTCAACATACCTTGCTGTCTTTCTGCAGAAAAAACTTCAGACCAGATCTAAGTAATAAGACAATAGTTAGAGGTAATTGGTGCACAAAGACATACACGGTCCTGAGGCAAGGTATTATGCGGATTTTCAGTGCAGGAACGGTTGCTATCAGAACTAGTCAGTATTTTCTTCCTTTCAGAAGATCCACAGATGTGCCCAGTGTTTGGATGCAGCAGTCAGTCACCACTGGTAGGTACAGGCTGTGGACGAGTTTGCACCGATGCCCATTCTCACCTGCACTTCATCATGGGAAGGCACATCTGCAGCAGCTCTGCACTCTCAGTGAGTCAGTAACAAGCTCACTGCTCTCCTGGGATGCACAAATTAACTTTGTTTTTTCCTCCAGCCTCAGCTGCCAGATTCAGCTGTGTAGCTTAGTAGAGCTGAAGGGCTTAGTAGTGATGACAGGCTAATTAATTCAACTAATGGAAGTAGAAACAAAAGAAAGAAATTTTAAATGTGCTTTCCTAACGTGGCTTCTTTTGGCTATTTTGAGGAAATATGAAGGAGAAGATAATCTTGCTGATTATTTTTCCATTTGTTTTCACATGGTCATTCTTCTTTTCTCCTCCCAGATTAAAATCTCTTCTACTGTGCCTTGTTTGTGAGACCCTAGCTGACTCCCCCCCATCAGCATGAGTTGGCCATTTCCATCACTTCTATTTAAAGGAAGTGAACAGATCTAATATGCAGTGTCTGAGTTTGAAAGCTGTCCCAGAAAGCAGTGGAAATTTACATATTTATTTTTGCAGGTGACATTTGTAGTCTATTGAAATGCCTCAGAGTCAAGCTGAAAATGCAGATCTGTAACTTTGCATGCCGCAGGAGAAATATTAGCCAATCTGATGCAATGCTAATAAATCATGATTGTTATTATTATGCTTTGGATGTGTTGTAATAAAGCCACAATATTGTTTTATTGGGAAAAAAAATCAACTCCCAAATGTATGATTTCATTTCTGTATAGTATTATTTCTGTAATTAAAATTCAAACTTATATGAGGTTGTCCTCTGAGGATTTCACAGATACTAATTAAATAAGGTCTTATTCAGCAGTCTCTATCCATATAAGTAGTCCTGTTGGCTTCCCATCTGCAAGGAATTTTGGACTGTTCTCTGAAGTTAATGCATTTGATTATTTCCACTTCACTAATGTAGAAAATTATACACAGAGGAGTTAAATGATTTACTCAAGACAAAAGGGAGAGCTAATGGTATCTGAAAATAGATCTTCTGAAGCAGAGTCCCGTGCTTTTATTGGAAAATGGTGCATCAGCATTCATAGCAGCTTCAGATACATCAAGTGTGCACAGAGTTTTGCAAGGAAGCCCAGAAACATGGCAGGGAAGGGAACTGCAGGGTGCCTGCTGTGAGTGGCATGGGGAGCCACCTGCAATGTTCATAGCCCATGGGACCTTAAGCCCCAACATCTTTTCATAATCAAACAGGCCATCCTGGAAAATGCAGACACCTTTGCCTTTGCAAAGCATGAATCTGCATCACAGTATCTGCAATTTTTCTTGAGTTCAGTGATCAAGGGTGAGAGATTACCAAAAAGTAAGTGGAAGGGTTAAATGAAGGAGATGCTCATGGTTTTAAGCCAAGGGTAATTACAATCTTGAAATAGCACTGGCTGTTGTTTAAAAGTCACAGAGGATTGGCTGACATCTTGTCAAGGGTGTAAGAGTTTCTCACACTCTTGGTGATGACATTCAGGGCTCCTTTTGTCTGTCACAGTAACTGCTGACTGACTTTAGCTTTGGCCAGAACAGTCCCAGCACTAGTTATGAGGGGCAGATCGTTTTCCAGACAGCAGGGAGGGAAGGTGTGCCATGTACTCACCATGATATCATGCTGGAGCAAGATGGATTGAGGAGCAAGCATGGAGAGGGAATGATGCTGGTCCTGAAGGACTCTAAAAGCAAAGCAGATGACTTGAAAGGAATCATATATTAGTGGATTATATGGTCTTACTACAATTTTCCCTCCAAGATTGCTCTTGCTAAGCCTTAGGTGGGGGTGTTCATGCATTGACAGGGTGCCTTCAGTGAACCTGAGCCTCCACAAGGTACTCAGAAAGGGTTCCAGACCCACTTCCATCTAGGCTTTATTCTTGGTATGTGCAATGTTTTGCCATGGGAATGAGTGAAGGAGGAGCTGAAGGAAAATGTATAGGCAAAACTTTGCTATCTTATTATGGTTTCCCTTCATTCATTGTATTTGCTGGACAATCACATGGAAACCTTTCCAAAGTGAGCACTATTATTCCCACGATCTAAATGATCCAAGGTCAGTTCTCCTATATGTGCCTGACTCTTTTCTTCTAACTCTTCATCCCTGGATCAGTGCTATCTCCTACCTGGCCAGCTTGTCTTCTTCAGGATGTGGGGAAGATGGATACCACTTCACATTTATGGCCTTGAGGAGTCTGAGAGAGTCTATTGTTCACACTTAGGTGGTATGAAAGCAGTCCTTTTCCACTAGTAAGCTCTAACAAATACAACTTGGAATAGGTTCACAAGTGCTGTTGTCATCTTTTGGAATCCTGAATTCTCCAACTTGAAGCCGTAAAAACGTATGAACAACTCCAAGACATCAGTAAATACCCAGTAATGTTTGGTTGTTTTGTTTAAAAAGCATCAGCTAAAACAAAAGTAAATGGAGGTCACTTCTCCCCAAGCAAATAAAACTCTCCAGGACAGCATACTTTACTTGAAAATTATATGGCAATTTTCTTTTCTTCTTTAGGTTCCAGAAACATATCCATATATGGTCTACTTGTCAGGGACAATAAATAATGATGTAATAGAAAGGTCAGCTTTGTGTCATTTAGCTCCAGGATGTTGATGAAGTGAAGTTCTTCAGAAAATGCAACAAAGAACTTCAGGATTGGTACAAGTTTCTGCTGTGCATCTTCAAACAGGAAATCTGAGATTGGGAACAACTTATATTTTGGCTTGTATTCACTGATCATGGGGTGATCCAGAAATAAACTCCAGGCTTCAAAGTGAGCGTGTTTCAAAGCTGTCCTGCAGTTGATCGAAACATCCAGGCAAAGCAGGGAGACAAATACCAGCAAGGATTTTCTGAATTAAGACTTAACCAAGGAGACAACCCATTTCAACACTATTATTACCCTTTTATTTCAGAACAAAAAGGTAATGCAAATATGCATGTTTTGAACTTATTTAGTACTTTCAATCTCTCAGTTCATTATGTCTATGCAAATATTTATTCCTACAGTAATTTGTAACCTAACCCCCTAACAGTCTTGGGAGCTTTGTGATTTGCTTTTGTTTGTTTTGGGCTTTGGTATTTTTTTCAAATATGCTATAAAGTACTGTCTGTTAAACAGAACAGTAGCTCTGTCATTTCCTTATTTTTCTTTTACTCACAGGTGGTGCCTGTATCTTTGTCCCTAGAATATCTTGCTCAGAAATCAATGCTGTACCTACAACATACTAATGTAGAATGTAGCATGCAAGGCACAGTGTGAAAGAGAAAAATTACATCAGCAAAAAATGTCTTTAATTTTTAAATTTCTAGTTGACTTGATATGAAGATAATATTGCACTAATTTCTGTGTGAATTAATATGTTCTGAGGAGAAATAAAAGCTTGCAGGTGTATAATTTCTAGTAAAGAATTTGCGCAGAACCATGATTTGGTGGCATCAGGGCATATGCCATGCTGATAGGTGACCTGTTTTGACAGCTGGGGCTGAACATGGGGATTTGTTTGCTCAGAGGATTCCTTTGGGAAGCTTGGCTTTGCTCCTTCAGCACTGGGCTAGAACTTGAGTGGTTTGCATAAACTGTCACTACAGAGAATCCTTGCCTGTTGCCACAGCAGGACAGCGTGAGGTGTCATCATTCTGATGTCTCAGCACTGGCAGATCTGATGGGCATTCAAATCTTTCTATTTTTAAAAAAAAATCATTTGCTCCCTTGTAACAGCTATCCAATGTGATACCCTTGGAAAACTGCAAAGGTTTATCAGGAAACTGACCTAAAACGTAGCAAAAATGCGAGCACTTTAAATTCTGGTTTCCACTGCCCGCGGAGGATCTGTCCTGAAAGGTGCCACAGTGAGCACTGAAATAGGGCTCAGTTTGCTGTGAAGACATCCACCCTGTTTGCCTTCCCCGTGTGTGCTCCTGTGATTTCAGAAGTAAAGACAAACACGTGGAAAGGCAAACACAGATCTGCAGAAGCAGGAGCTCAACCATTCCTCACAAAAGACAAAATTATGAAGCTGTTCCTCTCCTCTCTCTTTTGCAGCCTCCAAAGACTTGGTTATGTTTTCACGAATGTGGTTTATTGCACCCTGAGCCATAAATAACAAGGTTCTGTATTCAGTTACAAGCTCACTGGAATAAACTCAGCGCAAAGGCAGGCAAAGCCTGGCTCTGTTCCCTTAATGACCTTGTCACTTATCTGCCATCCTGTTCTGACAGAAATAAGGAATTCTGCTAATTCTGCTGCCTGGGATCTATTGGGGGGGCAGCCTCGCTAAGCTTTTCTTTAAAGAAGTGCTATCAACGGGGACCAGTTGTTTCAAATGCTAATGGTATTGAATTGCACGGTTCTGCATGTTCAAAGCCAGCCGTAATCCTTGTTTATTTATGTTGCATCAGGGATCAGAGGCCAATTCTCCTAAGCAGTATGTTGACAGAGCTTGTAGTCCGAACATAATAGCAACGTAATTGTGTTTGTCTCTGGCTTTTGCCATCATGTAGGTGATTACTGGTAGTCCCCATTGTGAGTAGTACCTTTGGTTTCAGAGATCTACCAGGTACAGCTGCTCATCAACACAGGTTAGGAGGTCGAAGCATGGTTCTTGCACAAGTATTTTATTTCCAGCCTTACTTTCTGGTCACTGGATGCATCTAAGTTGTCTCTGTATAGCACAGGTCTGATTACACATCTGAATTAACAAACTCTCACTGAAATCAGGATGGCAAAATTAAAATCAGGATCAGACTCTATGTAGAAATGGTGGTAAGTTTAGATTCCAGAAGATCTTGTCAGACTGATTTACTAAATGGCAGCACAAACAGCAGAATTCCAAGACATGTCTCTGCCAAGAGAGATCACTAGTGAAGCCATCAGACCTGGAAGCAAAGCACTCTCTAAGAAATAATATGGTCCCCTATAGCCAGAGCTTTAAAAATCAGGTTCTGCTGTCCCAGTAGGTGCTGTATGCTACCTGCATGTGAGGATGGGTTCTTGGGCTGCCAGAGAAATGCAGAATACAGCCAAATATTAAAACATTACCTCGAATACCTAAAGTTAGGATGAAGAATAAAGACAGCATTTAACTTTTAAATCTAATTCCAATACTTTAAACCTACAGTAAGCTGGCTTAGAACAAGGAAATAGATTCAAGTTGCATTTAGAAAGACCACTTTGGCCAGATCTTGCTAATCCAGATTTGTTCAAATATTTCTAGCAACAAAGATTGATTTTTTTTTTTCCACACCTTCATTACTGAAAGTGGAAAATATTTAGCTTATAGCACATTAGCCTAGTGAGCTTTTATTAAGTCTGTAGTTGGCAGTTCACTGATGGCCTCAGATGGGGTAAACTTAGCCCTGCTGTGTCAGCTGAGCCAGGCCACTGCCAGGTGATGCCACTGAGTTTGGCCTCAGGGAAAGAAGGGTAAACTGAATCAGGCTGTGGTGCATTAGCCTCCAGCCAAGGGCATGTGCTCAGCCTGTTATTGCAGCTCAGCTGTCTCCCTGCGGCTCCTTACAGACATAACCCAGACCAGTGCCCCTGTCCCGTAGTCCTGCAGCTTCAAACAAAAGCATCCTCAGGTGGAAGGGGAGGGTGGGGGCTCTGCTGTGCTCTGCTCTGCAGGGAGCTGTAGGGAAGAAGGCATGAGCCCTGCCTCCTGCCAAACTCAGTCACAGCACACGGGCAAACTGCACACACACGCTTGTCTGAGCAAGTGGAGAGAGCAGGGGGATGCAGGGACAGCTTCAAGCACAACTAGAACACTCTCTGCAGGGGTTCAGGACAGCCAAGGCTGTCCCTGGCTCTCAGGAAGGACCCGAAAGCTCCTGCAGCCCAGGATGTGACCCCCACACCTTCATCGTGTTTGTGCAGTGCCATGGACAGAACTGGAAGCTTTCTCTATTTTGAGCCCTATGAAATTTCTCCCTGCAGGATGAGTCAGTGAGGGGAGCTGCAGCCAGCAGTGTTTCTGCACTCTATGGAACTCCTGTCAAAATATTTAGATTAGCTAGGCTCACCAACACACAGACGAGGTTCTCCCTTTTCTCTGCGAATAGGTTGGACCCAGTTCACCCCTACAAAGGATAAGAGGATGAAATAGGAGTAATCCCCAAGAATCTAAAATCTTCCCTTTTGCTCCCTTTGCCTTAAGAATGTGTGAAACAAAAGGAAGGAGGGGAAGAAGGTCCAGAAGCAGCCTTTATACCTACATCCATCTGGGATGTGGTGAAACAGCTCTATCAGTTAGCTCCTCTGTGCCAGGGTGTGGAGCTGTGTTGGCAGAGGTGTCCTGTACAGTACTTAAAGCCCAGGCTCCCACAGAAGGCCCTGCAACACCCAGCTCAGATCACAGCAGTGATGGATTCACTGCCATAAGAATGGTGGCAATGGGGAGGATACAGAGGAGGAATCTGTCCCAGCCTGCACTGGTGCAGGTTGCCCTCGGAAGGGAGCAATTTCATCTCCATTCTTGCTTCCTCCAAGGATTCATTGTGCATCACCTCCATTAGGAGCTTAAGATCAGATCCTGCCCTCCCTGCTGACGGCTTTGTTTAGGTTTGTGAGTCACCACTGGGGCCAGGTCCCTACATTCAGGCATTGCAGTGCTGGATGCTGCAGACGATTGCTGGATGTTGCTGCCAGCTGCAGCCGGTGGTTCCACACATCTGCAGCTCACCAGGCACCACGTGAGTTCCGAGGCTGAGAGACTGTGGGAGTACTGCCCAGCGTGCCAGGGGCTGAGCAAGCCCAGCAGCAGCAGAACTTCTGGACAAACAAAGCTGTGCAATGGTTCCTAGCCAGCTGCTGGCTGGAGAGCAGCCAAAGGCAGGTACAGGAGCATGGGGGCACAGGGAGGCTGCCAGCGGGGTGACATCTGGGCTTGGATCTTTGGGACAGCAAGGGTCACAGTAGAGTAGAGGCACCAACTAAAAAAAAAAAGAAGCAACAGCAGTCATGAGAGATCTGGCTGAAAATAAAGGGGTGAAAAAAAAACGAGAAAGAAAACCACCAAAATTGGGTTGCATTATTTACAGCAATTGAAGGTTTTATTTTGGCGTTTTTCATGGCTGTAAAATATGTCCTTTGTTGTTGATAGTCATAATGTCAATCTGAAATCTGCTGGGCTTCCCTTTACCCTGAGGTCTTCCCATTTTTTTCTGGAATGGGCTTAGAGCTGAGGTGGCTGTAAATGTGGGAAATATCACCATGTCTGAAGTGAAAAGCCTAAGTCCAAGATTTTAAGTTACTTGATTGAGTCAAGCTCTTGCAATCTCTTCAAACTGTATTTGGGGAGCTGCCATTTCCTCCAGGTCAAGACTTGGCTGTGCACACAGCAGCAAGGGCTGCTGCAGCAGGGCACCTTCCTGCTGGAGTGACGCCCGTGGGCTGCTGGACCCCTGTGCCACAGGTTCAGTGTGAGTGCCCAGGAAACCAGGCTGAGCTGGGTGCTTGCTGGAGAGAGCAGCTCTAAGGGCAAGGGAGCTGACAGCTCCCCTGAGGCTCCTGCTGAGGCAGCTCCTGAGCAGTGGGAAGCTGGGTGGTCCTGCTGTCCCCACGCTCGTGGCTCCACTGGCTGGCCCAGATCAGCAGGACCTGGTCCTGGGCAGAGCAGGGCTGTGTGGAGCTGAAGGCCAGCCCTGCTTGTGGCACTGACGGGACAGGGACTGGCAGCCACAGGGTAGGGGGCAGGCAGCTTTCCTGGTAACTCCGCTGGTACACTCAGCCAGCCCCTCACCTCTCTGCACCTGGGGAACATGTCCCCACAGTTCTCTCCTGCTGGGTCCCTGTCCTCCCCTGTCATGTCCCTGTCCTCCTGAGCAGCTTGTTCCCATTGCTCCTCATCCTAGTGCTCCCCATTATGTTACACAGTTCTTGTTCAGTGCTTATAAAACCAAACCTATTCTGCACGGGCTGTCATCTTCTTAAAAGAGGCAAGCTTTTCCACCTCCTCCCATAAAACAAACCCTTGGCTCTTGAACACTGGTGGCCAGAGTGCTCTCTGGCATCCAAACGAGACCTTGCTAGAGCATTGTACCGTTCATTGTATCAGTACTTTACTTCCCTATCACTGCTGGAAATTCTGCAGTATTTTGAATTGTCTTTGGCTTTTAGAGTTCTGCAGTGGTGGTTCACAGTCATTCCGTGATTGCTGAGTGTGGCCAATGTTTCTCACTTCTCTCATTCCCATCTCACTCATGACCTTGAACTTTGTTCTGTGAAAAAGCAAAAAAAGAGAAGTGAAACAGACCATTGTGGTGTTGCTCTCTTCGCTGAGTGAAACAAAGTCACTTCAAAGCATAGCTTTGTATGTTGCTTGAAGATCTCCAGATAAGGTGGAAAAAATTACAAAGCTTCTTTGCACTTCATGGTGGAGAACCTGTCCTTACAGAAAACCAGCAAAGAGAAAACTTCTTCCTTTAATTTCCTGCAATTACAGCAAGAAATAAAACCAAAAAAGAGACATCCATTGGTCTTCTCCTAAATAAAATTCAAAAATTTATCACTTTAATCTTAAGGGGATTTCCTTTACCTATTTTTCCTCTTGAAAGGTGGTAACTAGAATAAGCAGATAAAAACTTGCCTTGCTTGCAACAACTCCCCCTTTTTTAAACACCAGATAAACCAGTTATTTCTGTGTCATTGAAAGGAGTTAGTTCACTGAGTTTACACGCAGATTTTAGCTGATAATGTTCTCTCCCTGGTGAAGGATATCTGAAGGGTTTCTTGCTCAGCATAATTAAGAGGCAGACCCAAATGACAGTACAAGATAGCTGAGGGTTTTTTTTGTTTTCCAGATTTTGATGTTCACAATTCTCCTTTTACAGGAAAGCGAAGAATTATAAAAATGGCTACGACGGCAGCAAATTCTCAAAGACAAACAATAGGCTGCGAGGAGTACAGTCTGTACAGCAGCCTGAGCGAGGATGAGCTAATAAAGATGGCCATCCAGCAGAGCTTGGAAGAGGACTCGGCGGGTCAGACGGTGGCCCAGAGCCCCCAGAAGTCGCTGGTGGCCCGTGCTGGTGAAGTGGGCGCCCCAAGCCGTGCCAGCCCACACAACCCTCCCTACCGCATCTACCCCTGGCAAAGGTAAGGAGTGCCAGCCTGAGCTGGTCCCCAGAGAGCCCTGGCAGGAGGGGAAGGCAGGCTCCCTGTCAGTGCACTGCTCTCTAATTAGCGCTGCCAGGCGCCTCCTCTGCCAGTCTGTCATTAGCCTTAAAGCAGGAGCCTGCTATAAATCCAATGAGGTCAACACTCTACGTGCTCGCAGGGAGAGGAGGATGTGCTTGATGTTGTCTGTTTTAAGCAACAAATTAAAAAAAGGGCACAGCCACAAGCTTTCCTGAACAGAAGCCCTCCCAAGGCCAGCTGCACCTTTCCACCACTGTATGCCAAGCTTACAGTGGTGGAGTAAAGCATATGTTATGAGAAAACATAAAAGAGGCACAAAAAACAGGTATACAAAACAGTGAGACCTGACTACCTGTTAAATACTTCCGTTTTTAAAGGATGTGATTATTCCAGATCAGTCTGACTTCAAGGACACCAGTCTTAACCAAGAGCAACTCCAGACATCAAATTGTGGCAGCATCCCCCTCCCCTGCAATGCTGAGCTGTGGTCACAGAGACCTGCTGACAGCTTCAAACCCTTGTTCCCCTTTCATTTTATAAAAGGCAGATTTCTCAAGGGGGATGGGAATAGATTCCAAAGTCACCTCCAAAGCAAGGAAAAATATCCTTTTAATCTTTTAAGTTACTTTAGTATTCTCTTTCTTAATAAACTGAGAGTTACTGGAGTTCTGTTCCTCCTCCTTTTTCATAACTCCACCACCCTCTGATGCCTTGCTCATTACCACCTGTGGTTGTGTGGTTTTCTAGGCTGGGAAACTGGGGATAATTTGATGAGAAGCAAGCATGTGCATAGCTGTGGAATCAGGATGCTGTTTGGCCAGCAGTCCTGCTCCCACCAAAGGCTGTGGTTTCTCAGCATGGTTACTGTGCACCTCTACAGCCAGCTCTCCTGTAGAGACCTAATGCAGGGGAGAATAAGGGCTTCCCTGGCCATTTGGTCCTGTCCTTTTTGAAGGTCCTCCGACACCTGCTCTTTTGGCAAAAAGCAGCATTAGCAGTTCTGTGCATTGTCTGTCCTGCCTCAGCCCAGCAGTGTTCAACCTCTCACCAGAGGGAAACCTTTGGAGCTTGATGCACCAAATCTGTCGCATGGCTGAACTCTTCTGCCACCTGGGAGAGCAGAGATGGAAATGGAGCTGACATCCAGTGGCCCTGGGTCATCCTCTGCCCCCACCTCTGAGTTGTTTGCATGGCACTTTGGAGGTGATGAATGTCACCTCACCTCACTTTGTGCCTGCTTCCTGTGTGGTGGTGGTAGGGTTAACCACGCTGTTGTCTTATATGGTCATTTGAATCCCCTGACGCTTCCTCAGAGGGCCAAAAATAAACTCGAGCCGAGTGAGCAGCTGAACCCAGCGCAGAGCAAGCCGTGGCCATCTGCTTTTATTCAAAGCCTGACCGGCAGCTCGCTCGCTGTGTCTCTGTGGATGTGTGTCTCTGCTTCTGCCTCAGCATGACCTGTTTCTCCTATTCCGAGTATTTCTCCTTATTTCACTCGTGTCATCGCCACTCCAGATTGGCGGCCCAGCAGACAGGCCGTGCTCAGCCATCCAGCTCGGGGGCAGCCTGGGGGGTCAGGCGAAGGTACGACAGCAGCCAGTTCAGCACATCCCAGCCCGTGTAAGTGTCTCCCTCTCCCTCTCCTGCTTTTCCTTGCAGTCAAAACAAGCCTTGCTACCTACTCTCTCCCTGAGCCATGTCTTCTGGGTGGTGATGGTGCCTGCTGGGGGGAAATGTGGTGTTCATCTGGAGGAGGTCTCGCTGACACCTGCACCTCACCCTCACTGCACTCCTGTTCTTCCTTCCAACCTCCCCGCTGCCCCAGGCCATGCCTGTGCTCTTGCAAGTGACCCACCTCAAATATCCCTTGTTCTCTTCTCCCTCTTCGTCTCTCTCCATCCCCCCAGTGCTCATGTCCTGGGGACTCTGGGTCAGTCAGAAGCTCTGAGGTGACAAGGACAACAGGGAAGGGATGTCTGCACTGTGGTTAATTTACACAGGCTGGCTCACTTATCATCAGGATAGATGAGGCAGGCAGGTGCTGATAGTAACTGCATTGGTATTAAGTTCAGGGCGCAGTAATGGGGAAAAGTAGGGGGGAAATGTATCACAGTATATAAACAAGGTGAGAAAGTCGAGTCCTTCAAATAAGTATTTTATAAATGCTCGCGTGATGCCATACCTGTTCCCAGCCATACCTGCGCTGTCCAGCCATGCAGAGGAGGGCTTACTTGTCCTAGGAGGAAACTGTTTCTTAGCTGTCTGATCCTCCTGGCCATGGTTTGCTGTTGGCAGAGGCTGCAAATAAGCTTAGTTGAACACAGTCATGGATGAGGAAAGCAGAGAGTGACCTAAGCTCTGTCTCAGTGCCTGTGTTTAGTGGAAATATGTGGACATGACGGGACCCAATACAAATTTCATTTAGTCCATCTTACAAGTCCCTCCCTGGATGCAGGGATTACCCTTCCACCACTCTCCTTCCTTTCACCTTTCATCCAGCTCTACAATCTTCCCCACCTTCCCCTGTATCCTGGCTGATTCAGACTCAGTTCCTGGCCCTTTGTTGGCATTGCACTTTCTGATATTCTGAAAACCTCTTCCTGCTACAACATGAAGCCTGCCTTATCCCTGTCACCTGCCAGCTCCCCTTGGCCACACTGAAATCACATCCTCTCACTAGGTGCTCTGCACTCCTTGCATGTCTCTTTGTAGAAGACTTGAGGGCAGGCTGTTCTTCTCCACCAGGTAGCTGCATAGATTTCAATGTACAAGAAAGCTGATAAACTAATCCTCCTCTGCTGCCAGGTACAGCAAAAATATAGTTGGCAAGTCCTAGAAGAGCATGGTGGCATGACTGGCATTTTTATAGCCTTAGTCCCAGAGCTAGGCAGGGATGATGTTTCACTTCACCTGGGGAAGTGGTATTCCTTCACCCTGCCTGCATCTCTCCAGGCTGTCAGGAAAGGAAGAAGCTTCTTGAACCTTTCCATGCTCTGCTGAACCTCTTCTTCAACACTCAGAATTGACCTCATCATACATCTCATCTGCACGGGGTATTTATTATCTTGCCTACTGGTCTTTGAAATGCAGTATTTTTTTTCAGTTGCCTATAAGGTTAAGATTTGTTCATCTCTTCAGACTTCCTCCATAGTTTTAATGCTTGTATTTTCTATAGCTGATGAAATCCAGGCAGCAGAATGTGGTGGGTTTTTGTAACAGCCAACTATAAGTCAGGCAGAAAACAAGGATTTCACATGGAGATTCATTAAACCTTCTGTTCTGATCTGGAATTTTCTTGGCTAAAGCATCTGCAGCCTGGTCCAGCAAACCCCCTCATCTTACTCAGGAATCATTTAAGGTCAAGGAACCCAGCAGAAGTTTGCTTCATTCAACATCTGAGGGCTTAAGCAGAATAGTAACTGATTCTTCACACATTTTTAACCCTAGCACAGATCCAAGGTACCCTCCCTCTTTCCCTGAGGTCTCAGATAATGTGATTTACCTTGCATTTGCTGTGAGCCAGCCCATGCGCAGACCCCTGCCACGGCCCACCTGGCATGCAGTAATTCATTAAGCACCAGTAATTATATCATGTGCCCAAATCCTGAGGTCACAGCCCTACATGTGTAACATGAGCCTTTGCACAGAACAGATGGTTTCAGCAGCCTTGTGCCAGAGGTGTTGAAAGATGAAGATCCCCCACCTCCGCCTCCTCTCCCAGCCAAAAATGCCAATAGTTGCTGTCAGCACAATTCAACAAAATGCTCAAACACCTGTATAAAAATCCATTATATTTACACAATTAGGAATCTTAGGTTTAGTCCCCAGGGTAGTGTAAGCAGTGTGGAGATACAGCAGTGTCCCTGGGACGTCTGGCCAGCAGTTATCAGGTCAGTCAATTCCTCCCAGGACGGCTGTGGCCAGGACAGCAGCTGCCTGTTCTAGCTGTTATCTTCTTAGGCAAAATGCCTGGCCTTGTGTCCCATACCTCTCCTCATTCCAGTGTTGCTATTTTTGTGACCCTACTGTCTTCAAATCACTGCTTCCAGCTATAGAGAAGGAGCAAGTGGCACGAAGTACTATTACACCTGGGAAATGGTGTCTTTTCCCACTCTCTGGCACAAGTTTTGACATCATCTGTTCCACTCCTGGCCCTGAATTTATCCTCAGAAAATCAGCCTGGTGACTTCTTTCAATACCAATATCAGTGTTTATAGCATAGATTGTGTGCCTTTGGGCAAACTAAAATTAGTGAGGCCTGTGTGAGTTTCAGACAGTTGGTCTATCCAGCCCCTACAAGGCAATAGAGTTCAGTGCTGGTCTGTAACTCCCATGAAGTGCAGAGGTTGCACCAGTATACTGCTTTGTGAGGACTCCTGTGCTGACCTGCCCATGTTTTTCTCTCTCTGATCTCACTCTGCTGTGGTATTTTAGACTTTCCTCTTGTCATAACTGGAGTTTCTGGTTGTTCCCATCATCACTAGCCTGCGTGACCTCCACCACATGCTATATTCCTGCCCTGGTAATGCTAATAGACTGAGACATGCACCTCTCTCTCACATCTCTCTGTCTTCAGGACTGCAAGATTTTCTCTGTAGAGCAAGTTCAAGCCACAAATGCTCCAGTGCTTTCTGCAACTTCTTGTTTTCTCTCTCTGCAACTGTAACCCACATTCATTTCTTGCAAGTCCCCATTAGAACTGGTAAAGTGTTTCCTTCCTTCGTGCTGAATCTGTCATTTAGTGCATGACAATAACAAAGCTGTGGCTGCCTTGTCCCAGCACAGCTCAGCTGGAGCCCAGACAGATGCCAACACTGGAAGGCACAGCCCACCAGCATGCACAGAGCTGCTGCCCACCATGGGCAAGGGCTCTGCCTGCCTTGGCTGCAGGGTATGAGCTCCCTACCTCTGCCATGCTACTGGCAGCCTCAGAAGGGGTGGCAGGAGGGTGCCAGGTTCTGCTCAGGTGCTGCTGACCTGGGGAGGAGTGGCTGTCAGGCAGTGTTGGGATTCCTGCTCTGTGGGGAGACTCCCAGGAGCTGTCACTGTTGCTCTGCAGTGGGATTGGTGTGCCCAGGTCAGCCCTGCTCTGCAAACACTCAGGGAGCTTGGAGAAATGGGTTGCTGCCTGTGTGGAATGCATGCCTGGCAGAGGGATCTGGGTAGGTGGAATTTTTTCAATCCTCTCTGGATGAAGAAAGGAGAGCCAAGACCAACACCCCAGTGTTCACATGCTCTAAACAGAGCTCTCCCTACTTCTTAAGGGCACTGGCTAAATTCTGAAAACAGGACTGTATGAGGAAATAAGAAATAAAAATACAAGAGTAAGATTTGTTAATAATTCATGTTAAAGCCACCTGCAAATCAAATCTAAACATTTCTTTTAGGATGAACAAGGGTAATTCTTTTCAAAGCTGATCTTATTTAAAAGATCTCATATGGAACACCATGCCACATGTGTGATGATGCAATTATCAGTCATGGACACTCCACAGTGTATAGAGCAATGTCAGAGCCAGTTTTCCACAACTCCTGACACCTAAAATATAAGTGTTTGTGCAAGACATTTGTTACATGTACCTAGTTCACTTACATTCTGAGGAGAGTGATCAGTATCTCCAGACAGTGATTCTTCTGAACTGTTGATAGTAACAAAATTAGAGAAGACAAATTTTACCTTTACATGCCCTATGGTATAGGGGCCATACTGTATAAATATGTGCTATATAGGCTGCAAGGGTTCACCCTTTTGGGCAAATAAAACAGTGATGTTGCTGCAGAAAGCTTCTCAGTAATGAAGGAAGCAATAACCAAGTTTTAATCTTGTTTTAAAGAGAAATTGACCCTGTAGTGGCAGCAATCAGGGATGGAGATGAAAAAGCAGTATGCAACATGATGAAATCAGGAAAAAACCTTTCTGTACCTAATAAGGATGGCTGGATACCCCTCCACGAAGCTGCATACTATGGCCAAGTGGGCTGCCTGAGCCTGTTGCAAAAAGGTCAGTGAAGTTAAAACCAACTAATTACAAAAGGGAAAAGAAGAACAGGAATAAACTAAAAGGCCAAATTAGCAATATTTCAATCCTAGCCTGGGGCTGTGTATGAAGCATCTTTCCAACCTCCCTGCCTGTATATTAATTTCACCTTTTCTTGGAAAGTAGGTTTCCAGACTGAAGCCTCTAAAAATTAGGATATTTGGGAGAAAGTAATATGGGATAGATTCTGCCAAGCCCTGGATTTCCCATGCTCAGGCCTTGAAGCGGAGCTCTCTCCTGTTATGAGCTGCTTGGCTGCTGCGAGCTGACAGGAACAACCCCACTTTCCCCTGGGGGAGGATCCAACCTGGCATCTCTTTGCTGATGCTTGAAGTTAATTACTGTCGTTTGTTTTCAAACTTCAGGTGAAGAACAATTGCTCAACAACTTTCTGCATCACTAGTGGCCAAAGCTGAACATTTTAATTTAAACTGAAAACAGGTTTCAATACTCAACCTGAATTATAGTAACATTATATTAGTATACATTATATATGTACATTAGTGTATATATAATGTATATATTGTACTATATGCATTAGTATATCCCTAACTTACACTGCTTATGGAAATGAATAAACAATAAAAACTGAAACCCTCAAGGATTTAGAAGGGTGCTGGTGCTGCAGATACTTGTGCCCTACATGCCACAATGACTTTGGGCTCACTGCTCCTCCACAGCGTACCCGGGCACCATCGACCAGCGCACCCTCAATGAGGAGACAGCTCTGTACCTGGCCACCAGCCGGGGCAACCTGGACTGCCTGCTCACCCTGCTGCAGGCCGGGGCCGAGCCCGACATCTCCAACAAGGCCAGAGAAACGCCGCTCTACAAAGGTGAGGAGCTGCTCCTACAGGCATGCAGAGCTCTGCTGGCAGCACCCAGGCAGAACTGCAGGATCACTTGTGATCAGGTGCTGAAAGGCAGTGATTAGCTCTGGATTTCTGCTTTCCTGTGGTAGTCCTCTATCTCCTGTGCCTGACCTGCCATGCCATGGCCTTTATCTCACCCTGTCTCTGCAGACAGGAATAGCAGCTGTCCTGAAGGGTGCAGGCTGTGATGGGGCGCTGGGGGTGAGGGACATTCTCAGTAGGGCCCTAAGCACAGGCTGTCTGCACAATGCCCCAGACTTACAGAAATCCGGCCAGGGAAGCACTATGTATGCTCTGCTGAACAGTAGGGCCTAAGTAGCCTTAGATGTGCAAGCACAGTGACTGTAGACATGACAGTGATTCATACACTGTGTTGGTCAGGCCAGGCTGTGTGCTCTAGGAGAGTCATAAAATTATAAACAATTCAGTGAGGTAGGTAAACTATTTAACGCAGACATATTACTTTGCCGCTGATTGGACAGAGCACTTCTTTTAGCAGGCTAGCAATATATCTGTGATATCACAAACACTCAGAGGAGACCTCTCACATCTTCATGTCCAACCTCCTTTGCTCCTGCCATGACAGTTTTTAGCACTCTAAAACATTAAAAACATATATTACAGGTTTAAATAGCAATCTTGCTCCAACTTTGGATGCCTAGCATTGCAGCTGCTTTTAAAATTATTTTGGTTTAAAATTCTGGCTTTTAGTTGATCAAGGAAAAGCTGTTCACCTGTCCATTAAAGACACAGTAATGGTTGCAGTAGTAGCAGTAGTGCTCACAGTAATAATAATCACAACAACAATGATATGAAAACACCCTTTAGCCAGAGAACTCTTAGTAAGAATGAGCTAGCCTTGATGCAGTATCTTCTACACTATCTTCCAACAACAACAACAAAGAGTTAAAAAGACTGTCATAACAAAATAGTCATCCCTCACATGTAATCACATTAAACTCTGCAGAGCTATGGATAGATAATTACAGAAATGTCTAATTATATAGTTGCTTTCAGTATATGAGTGACATCTGTTTATGGAGGAGAAAACTATGGAGCTATTGCTAAGAAGAATCAGAACTAAAAGGTGGAACCTCTGTGAGAAAAAGACACTATTATTTCAAGAAAAAAACCTAATTGCTATGAAATGTGCTTATCTTCCGTACATTTTACAACAGATGCTGATTGGGGTTTTTCAAGGTAGCTACTCATCCTATGTATCTTTAGGTTTGAGTCCTGCCATTAAGGTGCAGGGGAGACCCCAAGATTTGGGATTCAAAAAGCTGTGGGCAAATTGGTAGAATAAAAATCAACAAAATGCTATTAATTATTAAGAAACTATATTTAGCTCAGGATGGCCCTGAACTATAAATTGAACTATAAATTGAGAAAGTTGTTGGTTTGAGCTTTTTATATTTTCTTGTCTACATGGAGCTTTATCTGCAGTCCATGGCACTAAGATAGTCAGTTTGCACAGAATTTTGAAAGAAAGTGTTCAGGTCACGTGATTTCTCTAACTTATTTGTTCTTCATAAATTACTTCCTGCACCTTATCACCTCACTGTGTCCCTGTGGTTTCCTGTTGGCACAAATGCGCTGGGCCAGATTCCCCCAGTACCAGACATGACACAAGCCCTACACAGGACACTTAGCCAGGTCTAGTTGAAGACTGGCTTCACTGTCACATCCTTTCTGAGCCTCAGACAATGTCACCTGGCAGCAGCCTTTGCTCTCATGTAGACCTAAATGGATCTCTGATCTTACTATGGCGTACTTGTATGATATTGCCTTGGGCTGCATGAAACAGATACACAACACCCAGAATATTTTCAAAAGCTGGCCCTAGTTTCTTCTCGTTTTTCTAAAACAGCTTGTGAGCGCAAGAATGCAGAGGCTGCAAGGCTCCTGGTGCAGTACAATGCAGATACCAACCATCGCTGCAACCGAGGATGGACCGCTCTCCATGAGGCTGTCTCCCGCAATGACCTGGAGATCATGGATATCCTTGTGAAAGGGGGTGCCAAGATTGAGTCAGCAAATGCCTACGGGATCACTTCTTTGTTTGTGGCAGCTGAGAGTGGGCAGTTGGAAGCTCTGAGATACCTTGCAAGATGTGGTGAGTACAGCTTTCATGCATCTATTCATTTAATTCTTAATAATTCAGAGTTTCCAAGTAATTCTCCCTGGCTCAGTTTTTGTCTCTGGAGGCCAGGCCTAGCCTGCAGAGGCACTAAGACCCTGCTGCTCCCTTTGCTGGAACTGGGTAGGGTCTTTCACAGAGCATCGTCTAGACACATGTGCTTCTACAGCATTCATTCATGATCACCTACTTTGAGAAGTCATGTGGTGCTGTGTGACTGCATTTCCTAACAGCTTTTAAACCCACACTGCTGCACACATATAGCCTAAAATCCAGTCAGTCATAAAAGGCAGCTTCAGGTGGTAATAGATGGCAGAAGTTGAACTTCAGCCAACCTACCTGCTCGTGAACATGTGCAAGATGGGCAAGGTTAGCTGTCCTCATAATGTATCCTCTGAAAATAGATAAAGTACAACTGTAGAGTTTATGGGTTTATCAAATAGAAGCAGATTTTCTTTCCCTATGTGTAAATGTTCAAACATATTAAACAGAGTGAATATGAATCTAATTTACACTAAACCTATCATTTACTGCTCCAGTCATGTAAAACATCTTTACAATAAGCACAATACACCTCACTACTATTCTGAGGCATATATAATTTTCACAATGGACTAATATCTTCAATGTACGTAAGACTTGGGTCCTGCACTTGCAAACCAAGAGTTTACCAGTGATGAAGATAAGAAAAAGTTTTGGAAAAAATAGTATGATTAAGAAAGATATGAGAGTTGGGAAACAAAAAATGTGCTTTGCTGCCCAGCTAGTCTTGTCAGAGAGTTTTGTATAACCAGTTAGTCCATCATGCTGCCTATGACTGAAGAAACTAAGCCAGAATGTGATTTGTGTTTTAAATTAGATAGATATTAAGATGTCCTTAAAGTGCAATTTTGAAAAAAATACACAAGAAAAAGTCCAATAAAACTGTCCAATTGTTTCAAGCCCTGAAAAGCTCTTCTGAGCATCCCAGGAATGATATAATTCATTGCTTATGATGAGCAATTTTCATAATAAAAAGGGTTTCTTTCTCATTAGGAACACAGTCCTGTGTTATGTTTTGTTACTGTAATTCTCCTGATGTTTCCAGCTACATCTTCAAAGGGCCAAACACAACACAGATGTTTCAGCTTAGGGTGAGAGCCCAGGGAAATGTTCTCATTGGCAGGGAGTTTTCAGGATCAAACAGAAGACTGATCAGTTTCTTTATTGCAGTTTAGAAGCAAAACTCCAGTGAACTGTCACTCCCATTTAAGATACACATAGAGCAGCCTTCTTAAGAACACCATACAATATATGACAGCCAAAATCCAGGCTGAAGGTCCTTAAATATCTACAACAAAAAAAGCTAGATTCCATATTGTTTATGGCAAAAAAGTGTTGTCTGGGTTTATACTTGCATGTTATTTATTAAGTGAAGTACACATTAGAGCTCAAGAAGGAAATTACCAAATAGTCTAGTAGTTAGTTGATAATATTTATCTTTTTTGTAGTAAAACTTACCATTTGAAGCCTAACTCCAACCCTCATTAAGTGAAGAGATATGGCCTCAAGTGCTGAGTTTTGAAATGCAATGTTCATTGATTAGGGCACTCCCAAATAAAACCTGTTTAGAATTGTTGATCAGCACCATGCAGATGTCATTTTATAGACTACTATTTTAGCTTGGATACATACTAAAATTAAAAAGATGTATAAATGCTATAAATCTGTGTAATACCAGTGTGACTATATAGAGTAAAAGTTATAAATATAAATAAATATATATCATAAATAAATATCCATAGAATTTTGGAGAGCACCTATTGAGATAGTCTAATCCAAACTCCTGCTCAGGAATAGTATATATACATAGCGTAAACACATAAATATTAATGGAATTACTGTGTTTGAAGGAAAGGCCATGCCATATAAAGAACAGCTCATTTAATTTTTTTTTTTACCTTTGAGCTGAATGGAGCCTGGATTCATGATTGGGACCTAACAGTTGCCACCCATGATAAACTGTCCCTCATAAAATTCTCATCATATTATAAACCAATGTAAATCTATGATATAAATGTATATAACTGATATGACTGTGCCACTTGTGATATGACCGTGTTCACATCCCCATCCAGCACATTTCATAGCTCCAGTGTCATGGAAATATAAGTGTTCATTCAAAGGATGTTCGTGCCATCTAATTTTAACCTTTTGGTGCTAAAAGGTTTCCTTCCTTCCTAGGTGCTGATATAAACACACAAGCCAGTGATAACGCCTCTGCCCTTTATGAAGCCTGTAAAAATGGACATGTGCCCATTGTGGAATTTCTTTTGTCCCAAGGAGCAGATGCTAACAAAGCCAATAAGGATGGCCTGTTACCTCTTCACATAGCAGCCAAAAAAGGGATTTGCGAGTAAGTTTTAGTTAGTTTCATGGTTTCATCTTTTAGACAAGAATCCAAAGTCCTTACAACAAGGAGAATGTAATGTCCCAGAACCAATTCTGAGCAATGTGAGCAAGGCAGGTAGCAGCTGACAAGTGGCCTTCTGCTTGCAGAGCTCAGGCTGGAGAGTGTCTTTGGAGGCTGGGATGGGATGGGGTGAGCAGCAATGCTCAAGGGTGAAAGATTCCTTTAATTTTACCAAGGCATCAACTATTACAGCTAAATAAAATCATGTATCTTGGAAATTGATTAAACTGAAGTCCTCAAAATATTAGTAAAATATAATAGAAAAAAGTATTGGTGGGGAGTGTTAGTCCTTAATAGCCCTTGCAGCATGGTTTGTAATAATTTTCCTACATGGGCCCATTGTGATTCTTCTGCACAAGCAGAAGATGCTGGATTTGTCTCTGGTGTGTTCAGGTTTTAATAACAATAATTCAGTTGCTGACAGCAGGAAGTGGTTAAGTGAATCTCTAGAGCATTAGTGAGATTGTCACTAGAATATGGTGTCCAGTTCTGATAGCCTTCCTTTCAGAAACCTTTCAGGAAATTGTGAAGGCTTCAGAAAGGGAGGACAAGAATTTCTCATGGTCTAAAAAATAGATTTTATTAGTGAGTGATCAAATAACTCTTATTTGTAACAGACAATTTCATAAAAAGACCCACTGCTTTCTTTCTGAAATTAAATGTGTTTGGGACAGAGCTGAGCACAATCTCTAAACAGGGAGACAAGTAACTAGTGGAAAAAATAAGCAGAAATCAGGTAGAATTACCAGTCCTCTGAAACAGAGATTTTTCTTGGAAAGTGACAAACTTTATATGATAAAGAATATGATAAAGAATTTCAGTTTAGAAGATGCTGCCTGGGGATGGGATGTTGCACTGTCATATAAGTAGTAACCTAGGACATTGCAGGATGCTCCTGAGCCTGAACTCCATAGCATTTACTTCTGATCCTAGAGCAAGTTTTAGTTCCTGCTTTTAATCCCTCACTGCTGGAAAAGTGAGTGACCTACAGGTAATTTTTCATTGTAGTAACAGATCCCTTTAGGGACTGTAGAGGACCCCTCTGACTATCACAGTTTCTACCAAAATATTTCTACAACAGGCAAAGGAGAGTGTCTGTCCAACTGCAGTGACTGTTTCTGGACAGGACAGCAATCTTTGCAGTGAGCTGCTCAAGTGGATTCCTACATATTTCACAGTATCTGAGAAATAAAAGCTTTTAACATCACTACTCCTTCCCAAAATGTTTTTCATTCTGACATTTAGGTTTGTTTGCGAATGCCAATTAAGCTTCTCAAATCACTTTGATAGACCTGAGGATATTAATTTTCTGTAGTTGGAGTAGGCCTGGTTCCTTGTGCAAGCTGTGTATTCTAGAGGGCAGCTCAGTGTCAACTTATGTAACAGGTTTATACACTTACATCATGTACATGAATACACTGCACTGACTAACACATGCATGATTCAAAATTTTCTCCAGGATTTGAGTTATAAAGTCATTTTCATGTGAGAGAGACAGAACTCAGCTTCAGTTGTTCACTGTCTAAAAAGTTTATCTGAAAGTACAGTAAGTTGATCTCAAATATATAGAGTATGGGCCAGCTCTCTGAATCTTTCCCGCCCCTCAAGTAGTCTCACACTCTGACCTGAAAAGAAGAAACTCCACAACTTGAGTTTACCCTGGGTTATGAAAGGAAGGGCCTGATTCAGGGCTCATATCAATTTTTCCCAACAACCAGCAGCATAAATGAGACCAGAATTTAGTTCAAACTGTGTTCCTTTGCTTGTAAAAGACTGAGCACAAATTTTGTGCATAACTGCTGCAAAGTAGAAACGAAGACAAAAGAAAAATATATTCTCTTATAAATATTTATCTAAATGACAAAACTTTAGCCTGTTTGGCTGATCATTCTTAATTCCTTGGGTATTCAGTAAAATAACACCCTTCATGGTGACCTCTGTATTCCTGCAGATTTAGTACGTAATTCTGCAGGAATTCCACACTTCAACTTTTTGCCAGAGCACGAAGGCTCCCTACCATCAAAAAGCCAAGAATGTGGTCCCAGGGCTCAACTGTCAACTCTTGTTTCTTGGTGTTTGTTTATTTTAAATGACACCTTGTCAATACTGACCTGAAATTCATAAGGGTCATCTCATAAGCTGCAAGCAGTCATTTAACTCTTTCCCCCTTAGAAATGAGATGTTGAAAAGGGAAGACTTCATGAAGTGTGGGCAGACTTATTAAGTGAATACAAGTCAGTAAACACTTGGCATGCTCACACTGAGGATCCTCTGCCTCCTCCTCCATATAACCTCTAACAAATAGAAAACACAGAAGCAGGTGTCAGGGATTAAGGAAATCTTGGCACTATTTAAAAACTGTACATGAAGCTTGTCCCTGTGACAGACATGGGATGTGATCTGACTTGTCTGGCCTTGGCTGCCTTCACTTGAGTTGCATTCTTCCTCTAGAGAAACAGGAAATGCTCCAGAGGCACCATGTTACTGAACTGACCCACTTTGGAGTGTGAGAAAGAGACACAGGTTCAAGCTACACAATTAAACTGGTAACAATTTGATGCTTCCCGCTTTTCATACCAAAATAAATGTGGGGTACAAAACAAAAGCGTGTACTGAGCTCTAGGACACTGCAGCATTTGGATGCAGAGCCTCAGCGTGGCACCCATGCAGCGAGGTTCAGGTTTCCCTTGCAGACAGAAATGATGCAGTGCCTCTTTAACTCAGATGTGAAGAGCTGGCTGAAGCACATATGCTGGAGGGAAAGAACAAAACAGACCCTTAAATCTTCAAAACATTTGATCATGGGATGAGTAATGCTGGTACTTGGCGTAGTGTCCTCACAGTGCTCTGTGCCCTTTTTGTTATTAGGCTCTTACAGAACATTTGCTGAGGGTGGGAAGTTGCCAGCTCACCAGCACCCAAATCTCCTGCTCCCTGGCAAGTGCCACAGTGCTGGAAAATTAGTGTGACTGCTTGGAGAAAAAAATAAGTGCTTAATTTCCCAAGATATTTACATAATTTTAAAAGCCTTTTTGTTTAAAAATGAGATGTTGTAGAAGTAACTTGGAGACATCAACAGTCCATCATGTAAATAGGAACATAATCCTGTAAAATTACATCTTCAACCATTATTTCAGATCCTGGGAGTGCTGGAGGCCCAGAATTTCACAGGATCACAAGATTTTCACAGACAAAAGTTTTACTGGCTTAGTTCATTATGTAAATATATATTTGAGGTCCCAGTGTTGGGACTAGCCATTGCAGTCAAGCTGAAGATATGTAGCATTTTAAAGGAGACACACTACATGGTAGGAAACTGAGCTTTGCATGTTTGGGTGTCACCAGAGCTGTTGACTGCTAGGTAGAGTAGTCTGCATGGGAGGAAAGGAGGTGGAGAAGGTGTGCATGGATTCCCAGCTCAAACAAGTTCCTATTTAAGATATCCCCCCTCTACACAGGTATTGCAAAGGGAGTGTGGGCAACTCTTGACTCAGCAGGCAGACTCAGGCTGGATGATCTGTAGGCTCTTTGTAAAAGTAAGTTTTGCTTCAGGTGACTTGTCTATATCTACAGAATCAGAAGTTACAACAGGGTGGGTGAGTGCGGGTGAGTGCCAGCATGTCACCTCTTCCATTATAACTGCCCCTGCAGCTGCCATTACATCACAGAAACTGGGTGATAATCTCAAAAAAATGTGTTCCTCTGTGAAAGAGGAAGGTCAAACAACTCATATTTTTGGCAAGGTCGGTGCACAGGGAGTTGCTGACAGGTTTGAGATTTGCAGTCTGGTTTCTATGAGCTGTTCCTGTGCCTGAGTTAGCGGGCTCTGCCTTACGGGTACACTCATAAAGCTATGAATAAAGCTTGCTGCAGGGTTGTGGATCCCCTAGAGCTCACTGCTGCTCACTGAGTCTCCTCCTGGCAGGATTGTCTCCATGCTGATCCCTGTGACCAGCCGCACCCGTGTCAAGCGTAGTGGCATCAGCCCCCTGCACTTAGCGGCCGAGCGCAACAACGACGATATCCTGGAAGAGCTGATCGATGCTGGCTACGAGGTCAACACTGCCCTCTCTGATGAACGGTCCTGCCTTTATGAGGACAGACGCACAACCCCACTCTATTTTGCTGTTTTTAACAACAACATCTACGCCACAGAGCTGCTGCTGCAAGCTGGAGCCAACCCCAATGTTGACCTCATTAACCCATTGCTCATCTCCATCCGCCATGGCTGCCTGAAGACCATGAAATTGCTTCTTGACCATGGGGCAAACATTGACGCCTACATATCAAGTCATCCCACCACGTTTCCAGCTACCATCATGTTTTCAATGAAGTACCTTTCCGTGCTGAAGTACCTCCTGGATCTGGGCTGTGACGCAGGTTCCTGTTTTGAGTGTCAGTATGGAAATGGCCCACACCCTGCATTAAATTACAGGCGGGAAAGACTTAATGATCCTCAGGTGACCAGGGAGCCAGCTGTAGTACAGGTAAGCACTGCCTAGTCTACCCACAGGACTTCTAAGGACATCTCCTACCAGTGGATTTTTACAACATAAGTGTATTTTTTCTTCCAACTTTTTTGTGAGAGAAAAATTCACGATCCCTACTTTATTTACAGAAAAAAAGGCTCAATATGAGCCAGAAAACATTCCAAGTTTGTGTCCAATTACTGCAGGAGGGTAGGCAACAGCCACTGTGGCCATAGCTTGAATTTACAGTGAATTTTAACCATCTTAACATTCTTACCAACAGTTCTACAGTGCTCTTTTCCTCTGGACCTGAGGTGCCAGGAGTGAAGCATATTCTCTTGACAAACATATGGTGTTAGCATATGGGAGGTAGAAACTTTTTTTAACTTGCCCTGTAGGGTTTGTTTTGTCTAACAGAATTTTAGCTACTGGTTACATGAAAACAGTCTAGTGCTTCACTTTGAGGGTAAACTAGTGAAGGTGAGCAACTGCAATTTCTGAGTCTACTGGAAAAGCAGTCATGGAGAGAGAGCACAAATTATTATATTAGCTATGTAGCAGAGTTACATTTGAAGATTTCACAAGAGATTAGGAAATTTAGGTACACAATTTCATATTTTCAAAGCCACTTATAAGTGTTAGATATCTACATTTTATACATGTATCTTTGCAGGCCTTTCTAAAATGCAGCTGGGCTTAGCTTCCATTGAGCTGGAATGGGACTCTCAATCCCTTAAAGGACTTTGCAGAATCTCAAATTATACTTTTTTTTTCTGATTTCTGCATCTCCTCTCCTTCCAATGTATCTCAAAACCTAATGCTCCATTCAAAATTTGCTGTTTTTCAACATGCTACAGAAAAATGAAATCTCAACATGGCAGTTTTTCTATTTTGCAAAAAGTCAGGGAAGAAATCAATCAGCTTCTATCTAGTTTAAGTGCAGCTTTGAGAGATTCAGCAGAATCCCGAAGGTATGGTTACTGATATGTGGAAAGAATAAAGGAAAACATTAAATGATCCTAGGAAATCTTGACCTTTTCATCAGTCGTGTCTTCCAAAAGACTTTACTCTCAGGTAACATATCTGGGGGAAAAAAAAAACCAAAAAGAAAATCTTATAGAGAGAATTTTAAGAGTCCTTCACAACAATCTCTTATCCTAAAAAGGGCTTTACTCTCAAGAGTCTTTTGTCACAACAAAATTTATCCAGTATACCATATTTTTTGTCAAAAAAAAAAATTTATAAAATACATCATCTTTAGTTATTGATCTGTGATATGGTAGCACACTGAGTGAACAGAGAGATGGAATTCCAAGACAAGTAGACAGGATTTGTCTGTAGCCCTCTATGGTATCCTAGCCACTCAAAACCAGTTCCTTCTGGATCTAACCTGAAACTATTACCTAGGAAAATATTAGGTCACTCACAAAGAGTCATTGCCTCAAAGGTCACACCATATGAGGGAGAGATAGCAAAAATTGTATAAACATTTTTCTGTATCCAGAGGGAAAGCAGTGAGGAGAGATGCACACATGAAAAAAAAAAAGTAATCCCTTTCCTCTAATATTGTTTTTATTTGCTTTTACTGATAGGATTTGAGCTGATAAAAGTGGCTTCTGTGGTAGCTTCATGATATGTAGTTATGATATGGTTTATATTCTGAAATATGGAGGATCTTATGAAACTACAACCTTCTCCACACAAAGAATGTTCTTTTTCTATTTTTTGGTGTAAGATTACGTCAGGATAATAAATCTGAATGATTAGTCTTTATAAAGGCTACGAAGTAATGTAACTGGATTTGGAAAATGCACAAATATAAATCATAACTGATGCTACTAAATTAACGTGTCCTGGAGAAAGTGAACACAGAAAAATGGTTTCTGACTCCGTCCAGCTTTCCGGGGCTGCAGCTGATGCCGGGCAGGCGGGAGGGAGAGCAGCAGCGCGCTGCCACGAGAGGGCATTCGGGCTTCTGCCGGGAGCGCAGGCTCCGAGCCCCCGAGCCGATCCCCTGCCTGCTGCTGCAGTTTTGCATTATTTTTCTTTATTTTGCTACACTTATTTTCCTGCAATGTGTTTTGAAACGTGTTTATTCCAGAAGATGCTTTTGTAGGCTGAGCTTGTGAACAGGGAAGAGAGAAAGGCAGGCAGGGTCTCTGGTGGACACAAGAAGAAAACAAGTAAGATCCAGTGTTTATGGCCCTGCATGTGTCTTCATTTCAACTCCCCTAGAGCAGTCACTGCAAGGAGGTGTTAGTGCAGGTGCCCAGACCGTGTTCCGCACAGGTAACTGCATGGCAGTGACAAACACTGCAGAGTGATAGACATACAAAACTGCACTCCTTATAAGCAGCCCAGGTAGGAAACTGTAGGTTGTCCACCGCCATCCTTCTGACATTACTGTCTCTAGTTGTCCTGGGAAACATTACATGGTGATGTTGTTCTGGAAAACATTACATGGTGATGTTCAGTGAAAAATAAGAGTCAGAAAAGTAGTAAACACCTCTGTGAATGCTCTCACCTTGAACAAAATTACCTTATTTTCTGCAGCTCTATTTTACTAGGTGAACTAATAAAATTTTACTTCTGAATAAGAGTATTCATACAAGAGTTTAATGACGTTGAGTTAGGACTCCTGCATGAATAATCAAATTTGATCAAGTTAAAGGAATTTAAACTGAGAGAGCTTTAAGATAGTGCATTTTCCTTCCTGTTTGTTGTGGGCTTAGAAGGTGTCTGCAGACAGTCTGAGTGACTAAGTTGATGGATGGTGCTTCAGCCACCATCATTCAATAGGGTTCTGCCATGTGCCTGAGTTCTTATCCACACATGATTTAATTCATGTTAAACTTCCTGACTACTTCCATGCAGATTACATCCCCAGATATCTTTATCATATGCAGAGTCCTAAGAGAGACAGATGAAACTGACTGGTATAAGATACATATTTAGATTAAAGTGGGCATCTTTTTTTTAAATGAGACTGCTTAAAGTCAAGTTCTTAAATCTATTCTTCAGGATCTCCATAAGAAGCCCTCCATACAATGAATTTAGGTACTCTGCAGCTTACACTGAAGACAATATAAAATGTGCATGATCCAGGACTGAGTAAGGAAAGCACCTTCCATTAGGCCCAGGGTAGTTCTCACATGAGTGAGTAAAGCAACCAGGGATTCATCTGTGCAGAGATTTCTCCAGACTTATTTCTAGTCAGATGTTTGGTCTCCCAAAGCAGCAGATACTAGCAGGTTCACAAGAAGCAGGAGGTGCTGCATTCTTCTGAATCTCTCTCTTTCCCTAGGATTCCATTTTGCCCCACAGGGCCCAAGAGAAGAAAGGACCCAGCAAGCTATGCCACAGGGCCCTAGACTGCATGGCCCTTTCAGCGGCCCCTGACTAGCCTGGGGCAAAGTTCCTCTGCCCTTGCATTTCTGTGGAAGTAGGATCTTAGGACTTGCAAACAATTCAGCATTATTCCATGCTCCAGAGCTGGACTTTGCCAGGGATTTGTGTCATCCTGTGATTGTAAAGAGAGAGTTCTACCCTCAGCTGGAAAAGAACAGGCTTTAGTTGAAGTTTCCTGAAGGGTTTTGTGGTGATTGCCCTCACATCTGGTAGGAGCGGGGTACCATCAAAGCTGTCAGGGCTATTGCAATTGCTGTTTCCACAAGTGCATTTATGTCCCACTGATGGTAGTCCATCTGTTTTTCCTTGAAGTTTTGTGAAATGGTGTCTACTCCAGAGATAAGTCGCTGGGCTGGGCCGATCATCGATGTTCTTCTGGATTATGTGGGTAATGTGCAGCTCTGTTCCCGGCTCAAGGAGCATATTGACAGCTATGAGGACTGGGCTGTCATTAAAGAAAAAGCAGGTATGGTCTCCCAGAAAAGATTCTGGCACAAATACTCCCACTGTTGGATTCAAAACCCCAGTCACCATCTCCTCTTAGTATTCATCCAATAACCTTGAAATCCTTGAAAGGATTTCCCTTCTGTGACTGACCAGTCAGAAATTTCTGGGGTGTCACTGGCCCTGGGGTATGAAATGCACAACAGCCATTGATCTGACCCACTGGGAATGAGCACAGCAGTGCAGAAATGCACATTTGGATGTAGCTGGGGTTCAGTCAGATCAGGACAGGTGGGCATCTCCACAGCAGCCTAGCAGGCAACAGTGGCCTTTAAAGCTTTTATTAATATTCCACTCTCCTAATATCCTTTTCCTCAGGAAAAAGTCTTTCATAGATATTATCAGAATCAGTTTTCTGGCACCAAGCTAAATTTGGTAGCAATTGCATTTATTTTCAGTGGGAACGCTGAACACTTTGAAGTGATTTGTTTAAATCATCCTAGAAAGCCACTGCTATGGCTAAGATGGGTACAGCACCCTATCCTCCAGGCCCACATCCTTCCCCATGTCATGCCTCAGAGTTCTGCCACCAATCCCAGACTTATTATCCCTTCATTACAGAAAAAAAACATTTTTTCATTCTTCCTTCTCCCATTTTCCTCCTGTCACTGTCCTGCCCAAGCTGAGCTCAAGTCTCTCAAGTTAAAACCTGTCCTGCTCATGTTTCTGACCCGCCTGTCTTTCAGAACCTCCACGGCCTCTTTCCCATCTTTGCCGCATCAAGGTACGGAGCCTGGTTGGAAGAAACCGCATTAAACTGCTCGACACCCTGCCCCTGCCAGACAGACTGATCCGGTACTTACAGCACGACTACTCGCAGTGACCCCAGGCACACTGGATACGCAGCAGCTTCCCCACGTGGCACCCAGTGGCACCCATGGCACAGGTGCACCCTGGGGAGGAATTGCTGCTGGCTCGGTCAAGCACCCTCCCATGATTAATCTAAGAGAAATGTGCTTTTCAAGCATGAGTGAGAAGAAAATGGAGGAGACAGCTAACATAGGAGACTGCTGTTAGGTTTTTCAAGAGAAAACACATACAATTCACCTCAGACCTTAGTCTGCAAAGAAGAGATGAAAGGCAATACTGACAAATGAATAGTGCTGAAGCAAAGAAGTGCTGAGCAGGAACTCAAAAGTGTCCTGAAGCTGTGGTGGAGCTTAGCATCCTTACCGTGGTCACAATTCAGAACTTGTCAAGAATCAATGTGTTTGGGACAACAATCACATTACCTTCACCAACTGAGATTTTTATTGTAGTTTCTATTCTATTGTTTGGTTTTCTGTGTTAGTTGCTAATTCTCTGATATTATGACACCACCTTGCTAACACCTTTACTTCTTTTTTTGTACCTTTCTTATTAAGGACTTGATTTATGAACCTTCAAATCTCAGAACTCTTTAATAGACTAAAATCCAGAAATACTGAATCCTTTAAAAGTCAAGGAAACGTTTATTTAAGGAGGATGGAAGAATTGTATTTGCAAATAGTGAATACAGTTCATTATGTATCATATTTGCAATAGGAAGTAAGTGAAATTTTGCATGAGAGAATTTCCTAGACTGGGGATTTGAAAACAACCTTTAGCTTTTTGCGTTTTTTTGGTGTAAATTAGAAGTAGCTGCACTGTAAACAGTAGATTTATGCTTTCATGAAGCTGATGTCAGAACAGAGCAAAGCCCTAGAGGAGTAGGAACAGAGAGTGATGTGAAGGAGAGAGGCAACACTGTTGAACCAACTTATTCTCTTCCTTCCTCAGAAGATCTTATCTCTATAAAACCCAGCCTCTTCAACCTCCTTGGACATCTGTGGCTGTAACAATACCATGACTGAAAGAAAGAGAAATTATTTCGAAATAATTGAATTCAAACTGAAAAATTTATGGAAATGAATACCCAGAATTAGGTGTCCAGATCTTTATTCAGGTGCCTAAACAATGCCAAGTTGCTTGCACCAGGTGTTGTTCAACTTAAACCAGGAAAATAATATTCAGTATGAGATATTACTGAGGCTGAATAAATAAATCTCAGAATTTAGCCCTGAATTTTCTGACATTGAAAGTTTGAAGTATCTATCATCTTCCTTTGACACTGATGAAAGTTATTATCTCAGCTTCTTTGAAAATTAGGTCACCTATTTACAGCTCTGATCTACAACTGATTTATGGCAGCTTAACAAGTCACCATCTATCTGCTGAACCACTATAATTGTCCGTGAAATTCTTTTATTGAAGTTTTTAACAAGTCACATTCCCTCACAGCTGGGGAGACCAAGGACCCCATGAACAGTTATTGGCAGAGACTACAGATCACTTGACAGGTGTGACTTGCTGAACTGCTTTGATGAGTGCTTTATTCCTCACTAGGCACCTAAGAAAGAATGGAAGAAACTAAATTTGGAAGTACATCTTTGCAGATCTTATGCTAGAAGCATACTCCTTACCTTAGGTGGCAGAGGAGCTGTGCATCATGGTCTGCTTGGAGTCCCCACCAGAGACCTTACAGATCTGGTTTTGTTTGTTGATCTGCATACCATCCATGGAATATGACAGAAATCTAAGTAGGAAAAATACATTGCACTGAGTTTTATTTGTGTGGAGTTTTATATCTTAACACAGGACTGAAGTGTGTTGCACAAATATAAGTAATACAATTTGTCTGGGCACACAGATTGTGATGACTTTGCGTGAAATGTCTTCATCACCTGTGGGAGAGGACATGAGCAGAAAAAGCATTGGTTACAGGATTGCTTACTCTGTCCATTGCTGTCCCCTTTAAAAATGCAAAAATTGAAAAACCAACAGAGTTTCAATTCACACTAAACACTGCTCTTGTAAAGCTTTGGAAAGTCAGGCAAGATTCATCCACTGGTGAAATTTCACGCAGTAACTTCCTTTACTGCCAGTTTAAGATCCCTGCCCTTGTCTCTTGTAGTATGAATAGGAAATTGGTTTAGGTTAGAAAAATATTGGGTGGAGAGAAAAGGAACAAGAAATTGCAATATTAGTTCTGCCAGTGAAGGCCCTGTATTGGTAAGCAGAACCTGGCGAGATAGAAAATCACTGTGGAGTTCATGCATCTCTCACTTTCTGAAGCTGTGCAACAAGGTCTGGGTCTTACATTGATAAAAATCAGAAGTCCTTGAAATCAAGTAAGTGTAACCAAGCAGAGCTGTAAAGGGGGATGGATTCAGGTAGAGCTTGGTGGAGACCACTTCAGAGTTTGATGTGCAGTGACAGCCCTGGAGACCCTGGCAGGTAGAAGGGCTCACAATCACCAAGTACATTAATACCTCCAGAAGTGGGATTTCATAAGTATCCCAACCTGGGAATTTCCCCCAAGCCAATATTTTTTTGTCTACAAAAGTCTAGCAAGTAGCAATTTCTTTTTCTGTCCTTGGAGAAACTGAAACTGGGTTTGAATGAGATAAATATGGAAAGCCCATTTCTTCTTTCAACCAAGAGACCTTATTTGCTATTGGGAGACCCATGTCCTAGTTGCTGGCAATGATCTGTCCTGAGCAGGAGTCACTGAGCCAGAGAGCACAGGTCTGATGGGAACATAACACAGCTGCGGGAAGGGTAAGTGCATGCTGTGCTCAGAAACTGAGGTGAGAAGAGTCTATACGTTAGAGAGGGAGTCTGGTAATTGCAATGTTATTAAGTCCTTTCTGCTTGATCTTTAAAGCAAACCTTCACATACTCAGTTTACATTTATTTGCACTGAAATGGAGCCCACTACCTCTCCACTCCAGTCACTGACATATTTTTTTGTGCACAATACTGAATCTGCACAAATTCAATGTGCCTTTAATGCATCTATCTACAAGTTACTGTGAAAAGAAAAATACTCCAGAACCCAGGAAAGCCAGGCTTTGTAATCAGATCAGTAATTCTAGTGCAAGGTAAAGTGGCTTGTTTCACCGAGTGTGATAGTTAGACTCCTCCAGGTATGATGACTTTATGTGAAATGTTCTAGGAATATTTCATGACCAGGTTACTGTACTTTTTTTTTTTTTTTTTACTGCAACATGTGCAATTCACTTGATGTTCTTGTGCACTTTTTTGATTTTTTTTTATTTCTTTTTGTATGAAAGTTTTTTCATTTACCTCTCCCTTCCCATATTTATAAAAGCTATTGTGTTTTTAAAAGTTTAAATCTGCACTGTTCTAGTAAATAGCAGCTCTCAAATGTTATGTTTCCATCTTTCAAACAGCATATGAATAAACAAGCAGATTCTTAAGGACTATCAGCTGTCCTGAATAGCAACACCAACCATCAACAAGCCAAACACAAAAACATCCAGAAAAATTCTGAATCAATACAAGCTTGAATAATTAATAATTCCATTGTCAGTCTCAGGGATGAGAGAACAGTAAGTATTGCTAGAGAGGAGACAGAGTTGCTATTATTTGCAAACCTTTTGGAAAGTCTCACACATCCCCATTCAGGGATTTTGAATATACTTAACAATTGTCTTCTGTTCATTTGTGTTTTACTTCACTGCTGCTCCAGTTCAAAGCCCCAGCAAGGGCCACTGCCTGTCTTGGGTTGGGGGGGAGCTTCCATGTCACAAAAGATTTTGAAAAAATAACATTAGTTTAAATCTGAGTGTAGGAGCATAAATACCTGAGTCGGAGGTCATTTAGAATGGTCTGTTTCAATCCTTCATTGTAACTTTAAAACACACTATTCTACTAAATGGAAAATGTGCAGCAATATACATTCAAATAAAATGGAGTTTAAAAGAAGTAAAATAATAAAACAAGGAATTTAATATTCAAAAGATAGAAACTTGTTTTGAACTCTCTTCTTCCTCTGGATTTCTTCAGAAATAAAATTTATACAGAGGCTATTCACTTTGCCAAGTATTTTAATTTTTAAACAGAAGTCCTTATTCTGGTATGATCCACAGCACTTAGAAATTTCCCTAATGAACTCAAGGAGGAACACTTAAGCACAGCAACTACTGCAATACCAGTAGTTTATTCCATGACCTGGTCTGGCCACCCAGATGGAAATCCAGACCAACACTAAGGAGGCTGCTCTGTATTGATAGTACTGAAACAGAGTTCAGCATCTGGCTGCATCTGGAATACGGCAGCAACACAGAGCTACTGATGTGAGAAAAGCCCCCCATTTCCATGTAAGAAAATTCCTTACCTACAGGACTGTAAATTAAAAGCTGTTGTTCTCCCACCTTTAACTTCAATGGCTTTGGCTTCTGTTGCAATCCTTTTGGAGAGGGACAGAGTTTCCTCCTGGATTTTTTCCAAAAAAGGGAAAGGCATCTAAGTACGTTCCAATCTTTACTTCTGGATCAAGAGCTAACCTGAAGTCTTTAACCCCTAGAGTGGCTCTTTAGCACCTCACACCTTGCATTTAGTTGCAAGTATGTGCTACCAGAGACATTTCCTGCTCTCTCCCCTACAGTCTGTACTGGCTTGACACATATATCAAGTGCCATAGCAGGGAAAAAGCAATGAAAGCCATCTCTATTTCTATTGTTCACTGCACTACACACACTAAAGACATTGTTTCCATAAAAGTGAACATTGGTAGAATGTGTGAGGTTTGAAGAAAGAGTAAACCATTTTCAGCCTGGGAGCCAAATCATAGAATATTTTAAGTTGGAAGGGACCCACAAGAATCATCAAATCCAACTCTTAGTGAATGATTTATAGAGGGATCAAATCCATAACCTTGGCATTATTAGTACCAGGCTCTAACCAACTGAGCTACCCATTGGTAGATCATATCCTAATAAAAGTTGTACCTGGTCACATAATACCAAGGGTGTCAGAAGATACAAAATGATATTCTACAATTACTTCATATGATAATGCACTCAAATGAAGCATTTTCTGGTCTTCCCCTTGTAGAGATATCAGGAGTCATATAGAGCTATGCTAGTCACAGATCAAACCAATCAAGGCCACTTTTTATTGAGTCCTGGGAGATGTTCCCATCAACTTCAGCAACAGCAGGTTCAGGCACTGGGAAATCATGGATGTCCATCCTTTGGCCCTTTTTTGTCCCAAAATATACTTTTCTTGACTTCAGTGATTAACTCCAGTATAGCCAAATAGATACATACACCTGCAGTATTAAATATCTTCTATTTCATGTTCTGTGTCTTAGTACCACTTTCTCCATGGGTTTAAGAGAAACCTAACTTAAAACACTTCATAATAAATTCCAGTGCCAATTTGTTTAAAAAAAAATAGAAAAATACTAGGAAAACCAGCCAGGTCTTATGATAACATCTTAAAATCAGACAAAATAAAAGATAACTCTCAGCTAGAAATCAAGGCAGTCTATTTTTTACTTTTTCTTTCCACCACACCTAATGGTTTTGTATTGAACTAATAAGATCCCTCATTTATTCTGTTGATGCAGAGCAATTTGTGATGTGGAAATTCAACCCGCTTCCATTTGCACCAGCTTAACACTAGCTAATATCCTAGCCCTGGAAGAATCACTTCTGATTTATATCCATTTGAATAGGCAGAGATTTCAGTCCTCGTATCTCCCCACCAGTTGCAAATCAAACCCATGTCTACCCAGTGGGGCTAAACTAAGACTGTATTTGCAGGATCACCAAAATAAAATTATCTTATTTCTTCCCTTATTTTTTCTCTTTTAATTCTCTCAGTATTTACACACAACAAGAGCTTAAATCAATCACAAGTGGTTTCTATATCAAATACCACCCTCCCAGTTTCTTGCACGCAAAACGAAATGACCTGAATATCTTGACTTTGCTGGAATTGCTTTAAAATACAGAAACTCTGTGAATGCATTTAATTCATTCCATTTCACTGCTGCTGCCGCAGGGCAGCCCCAGAAAGATGTTCCCACGTGGAGAGGTCTCCTAGGTGTTACAAGTGCGGCTAAGAGTGGCCCGCAGCCCCGCTCGCCGCGGCTCAGACAATACCCATCGACGAAAGAGACCTGGTCATGCTCCATGCCACCGGCTCCGCAAGGTTTATTCCCGATTTACCGCGGTGTGCGGAGAGGACAGTGCAGCCCAAGTACCTTCCCAGCAGTTCCCAGCTCCCTGCAGCCCGCCCACGAGGCACACGGTGTGATCCCGGCCGCCCTCC